TCTTGAGTCTAAGTGACTCCTTTGCTTTTTCTTTTTAAAAATGTGGTAAGCAGCACTTACTGGCCTTATGTACCAGTTGTATAAGAAACAATAACACCAAAGATAGATATGCATAGAATTCTTGTGCCCAATCAACTCCCCCCCCCTTAAGTTCTCTTTAATTTGGCAATACCTTAATTCTCTAAACAATGCTACGGTAATTGACGGCATTTGGAAATTATCTTTGTCTTGTTCGGTACTTGAAGGGCATGAAAAATTCCCCTCCACTTCCTCACCCTCTCCCAGGGGTCATTTTCCCCTCTCTTTTCTCTGCCCTGTTTGCCCTCTGACCCCGACTAACTCTGCTGTTTCCACTGACTTCTGAATCTAATTAATGTCTTAGTGGCTATATAAATGAATTATGTAGGCAGAAGGATGTTGGAAACTTTAAGAAAAGTGCATTCCTTAGGGAAAAACCTGGTTTCGCTAAAGGGGGAGGGGGGAGGGAGGAACACACATTCCCAGGGGGTAGAATGTCAGTAGAGTGTAAAACCCCAATAATATACGCACACTCAATAAAGAGCTGTTGCCTGATAAGCAGGCAAAACCTTAGGAACATCTATTTTGACATCCAAGTCATAACCAGCCACTATAGATGCTGGTTGTGTGGACAGACTGTCCACATGTGCTGCTATCCCAAATTGGCCACTTAGCGGGAGGACTGGCCTCCCTTCCCCTCTGCCTCTCTTTTGCAGCCGGTTTACAACCATTTGCAGGGAGTATGTCCTTAGAGAATCTCTGGAATGACCCTGGCTCGCTCTCTCAGGGCCCCAGAATGTACTCCAGTGATCCAGGACAGCAGGCAAGCAGGGAGGAGGGGCGGAGTGCTGAAGTTCTCAGCCAGAGGATACTGTCAGAGAGCCCAAGGCGGAGATGGTCCCTATGCCCCAGGTTTCCATGGAAACATAGGAGGAGTGATGACAGCCAGCACAGCCGCACCATCTGCTCAGGACCTGGTGAATGTTTAAAAAAAAAAAAAAAAGAAAGGCACCTCGGATCTTAGGCTAGAACACACAGAGATACCTGTGGAGAGAGAGGAGAAGGCCGAAGGACACGAGACATCCTGTGTGGATTCAAAATCCATGCTGTCCTGAGGCTGGACAGATCAGCTTGTAATTCCAAAGCAGAAGGCCTAGAGGGTTTATCCTAGCATCCCTAGATACAGTTACAGACACCCAAGGAACCTCCCCCCAAGGAGCCTCCGGGAGGAGAAGCAGACTGAGTGGTGTGTCTGGGAGCTCTGCTGGAGCTGCTGAAGGTGTCCCAACACACCACGCTGGAGGAGGAGGAGGAGCAGGGGCTGATGGGAGCTGGATGAGGCTCCCACCACCTTCCAGCAGGACCACCTGCAGAGCTGGCTTTTGGCCTGACATATTTTTCTAGAGGACTGGCAGGATTCAAAAGAGAAAGAGAGGGAAAAAAAAAAAACCTATCTGGTCATGAAAGCCGCCTCTGAGGTATAGCTGGGTCTTTGGAATAAGGCATGAATTAATAAAGCCACGTAAGGGTTCTCTTCTCTCAATTCCTATCTACAGGGAGATCTTAGTGAGATGCCACTGATTTGCTTCAGGGTCTACGTAGGAGGCTTCTAGTTCCAGGTTGGCAGAGTGAGTGGGGCCATTGCTTGGGGCACTCATGTGCCCCAGATGGAGCAGGATTCATTTCTTAGTTCTTTTACTTGGCCCTTTTAGCCTAAATAAGAAAACAAACCTATTCAGGAAGAAAACAGCACCTGTAATTTAGCTACCTTCCCCAGCTGCCCCCTCCTGAGTCGGGAGGCTTCCCTTGGCGCTTAGCAGTATGGCTCGCATGTCCCTGGGGATATAAGTCCCCTAGTCACGAGTTCTGTAAGTTACACAAAATCTACAGTAGCTTCACAGGGAACACCATTTTTAAATTTTTAATCTGGGCAATGTCTTACTCCTTTAAATAATAATAAAAAAATACATAAAACAAAACAAGAACAACTTTTCTGACGATTCTGGTGAATATTCTCATCCCAGAAGGCCTAAGACCCCCTTTTGCTTTGTATTAAGGCTTTTCAAAATTTGACAACTAGATGAAGTGCTTGCCTTGGTTCATGCTTCTAGAGACTGAAGGATAATGGGAGCACTATCATAAACCAGATAAATAATAATAAAAAGTTCTCTTCAAAAAGGCTCTCATGCACCATTCTATCTTTTACTTCTAGAAATTATTAATTTAGAATTATTTCGATGGATAGCTCATAGCTCAGGAAATAATGGTATCTACAACTATTACTTGGGGTTCTTCTAAAGCCCCCATCCTCCAAGTGGACAATTTTCACAAACACATAACACTGGAAATAAAAATATGAATGCAACTATCCCCCTGTTAAAGGCCTCAAATAGAAAATAACACTGATTCCTGAAGAAAACATTTTAAAAAATTGCACAGTGAAATTGCTTTAGGCTCAAGTACACTCATATATTGACACAAGGCTCCAGAGTTTAGAGTCAAATATAAATCTACCCATTACTTCATAGTTCTTTTGGAAAGACCTTTTGTGAATAAGCCCCTCAACCAGCTTTACTCCCCCCCCCCCCCACCCTTTCCATTTCTGGAACTTTCTATTTATCTTCAGCCTCCTGGCTGGGGGCAAATCTGTATCTTGAGCTTCAAATCTGGCTTGGGACTCACAGTAAACATGGTTCTGCTTGTTCTTCACCAGCCCTCCTTTGTATAAACAGATGTGGTGGGAAGGGAAGGGAAGCCAGATCCCCGTGAGGGGCAGGAGGTCTCTTTTCTGGAGAAGTTTCCCAGCTGCAGCCAGGAGCCCAAGGAACAGGACACGTTTCTTGTTCAGGCCTTGGAACTGGCAGTTCTTCCAAACAGGGGCTGTTCCTCTCGCTCTCTCCTCCACCCTCCACCCCCAGCCTTTGTTCCTGAGAATGCTGTCTCCATGTGATGTCTAGATCTCACTTTTGCCAGAGCAAACATTTCCAACAAGGCTTATGCTAAGGAGATACTAGGAAGAGAGATTTTTTTTTTTTTTTTACCCCTTCTCTGGAGACTGGGATTTGGGAAGCCAGCCCTCCACACCTGTACTTTTTCCTCTGTTAACATTCCCTTTGTTCTTTTGTAGCTTTGTTACCATCTTCAACTATCCAGGGAGGTTTTTAAGGGTGGGAAGTTGTCAGTTTCCAAAATAACAATTCTGTTTTCTGCGGCTGTTGATGCAGTCTCTGCCGAAATTCAGTGTTTTACATTTTTGCACATTAGTTATGGATACGAATAAAGGAAGGAATACTACTTCAGGGCTCTGGAAAGAAGGAGGTGGGGCTGACTATTTTGCAACCCAATCTGAAATAGGAAAGAATTTTCATTGGCCTTCTGGCCTTCTACCTGTGTCCAGAACTTAGTTTGTTAATCCTCCTTCAGGGGTGGGTGAGGTGAAGAAGGTGGAAGGGAGTCTCTAGGTTTGACCCTGGAGGGGACCCTGTGACTTCCACCCAAGGGTCCAAATTTCTGGCCTCCCCAGACAGCCACTGTTCTTATCCAGAAAAGGAACAAAGGAAAGGAGCGCCTGGAAGGCCTTCCTGATGACAGGGAATGTAGGGTTTAGTGTGAGAAGTGAGGCCATTGCTCTGTGCCCCTCTCTCCAAGAATTCTGGGGAATTCTAAGCGGATGCTCCCAGAGCTGTGGCCAGGAGGACAGGAGAGTCAGGGACCCAGGATGGGCCCCATTTTAGACCAGCAGAGGAGAAGCAGAGTTCCAGTTCTGATCTGCTGACTTGACTCTCAGTGTATCTATGACAGTGAGCGGCATGGGTGTGGAGGGCGTTGGGGGGACGTTCCTTAAACCAGGGCAGCAATAGTAACAAGGACTTGGATTTTTAGGAGCCACGATAATACTCTGTCATCATTCCAGCTGACAGTCTGCCACTCTCCAGACAGGAGAGGCAGCGGGAAGTTTGCAGTGGACACCCAAGAAGCCTTCCCTTTAAGAGAAATTAAAAGAAAGCCGGTTGGTTTCCAGGGACCCTCCAGTTGGGGGGATCCTGGGACACCCCCCCCCCCCCCCGGCCAAACTGCAGCTGAGAGCCGGTCTTCTTAGAAGGGCTCTCCTTCCCGCTTCCTCTGTATTTCACATAACTTACTGACTCCATATATTCGAAACGATTTGTTTACGGCGCTGCTGCGGGCTGCAGTTAACTCTCACCGCGCCTGGGGCGGCCAGGGAATTTCCCAGCACCCACCTCAGGTCTGCAGCCTGCACAGAGCCCGCGGCGGCGCGGAGCGGGGGTCTAGTGAATTCGGGGCTGCAAAAGAAGTGCGTGCAGCCGGGACAGGACCGGGTGGGGCCGGCGAGGGCAAGAGGCAGAGGGATGCGGCAGGCCGGGCACGGCTCAGCATCCCCCTGCACTCGGTGAGGTCGCCTGCCCTTCTCCCCAGCTCTCGCACCGGCCCGGGCATCCCGGGGCTGCGGAGGGTCAGGAGGGCCGCGAGGGTCTGGGGAGCAAAGGGCGACCCCGAGGCGCGGCCTGCTAGCGGCGCGGGACCCCGAGGAGCTGCGCGGGGAGCGCACGGGCGCGCGGGGCGGGCGCGGCGCGGGGCTCACGGCGCGCGCGCGCCTCGGCCTCGCCCGCGCACACGCGCCTCCCCGAGGAGAAAGAGGCGGGCGGGCGGGCGCCGAGCACCGCGGCGGCGGCGGCGGCTGCAGCGGGCCGGGCCGCCGCGAGGGAGGGGAGGAGGGGAGGAGGGGCGGGCGCAGGGCCGGGGAGGGGGCGGCGGCGGCGCGGCGAGCTCGCCGCTCTCTCGTGAGTGTGCCTGCGCGCGAGCCGGCGAGCGGGTGAGTGCGCTGGGCGCTGCTGCCAGCCGGGCCGGCCGGGAGTCGGGGGCGGGGGGCGCCGGAGCCCCAATCCGGGGGCCGGCGGCGGGCGGGCGGCGGCCCCTCGGGCGCGGCCGGGATGCACCTTGAGCGGTGCTTTTCGTTGCAGCGCGCGGGCGGCCCGAGCCTTGGAGGCGGCGGCGGCGGCGGCGGCGACGGCGGTAGCGGCGGCGGCGCTGACACCTCCCACCATGGACAGCTTCGACTTAGCCCTGCTCCAGGAATGGGACCTCGAGTCGCTGTGGTGAGTCCCGGTGCCGGCCGCTTCGGGCGGGCGGGAGCGGCGAGGGGAGCCCGGGCGGCCCGCGCGCCCTCACCTGGGCCGGGGGGCTCCGGCCGCCGTGGGGGTGGGGTGGGCCGGGGGCGCCCGCCTCGCCGGCTCCTTCCTGCCTCTCCTGGCTGGATGCACCGCCGCCTTTCCCTCTATTTGCCCCCCTTTCTGGTCCCCTCCCCTCCGTGCTGCCTGCCCCAGCCCAGGGGGCCCGCGATATGTGTGCCAGGGGCAGATCGCAACCGTGGAGAGAAAAAGAAGCGATTTTTAGAACGTGTCACTAATGCCTGGGGATCCACCCCTCGACCCCCTAACCCCTCTCAGCTCCCTCCTCTCCGATTGTGCCTCCTCCCAGTTCTCCGAAAGCCTCGGGCTCGCACCCGCGACCCCCTGGAGTTGGCGCTGCTGCGAAGTGCCCTCAGAGGATGCTCCAGCCCCCTCCCTGCCTGCGCCGGGTCTTGGCGGCTGCATCCTTTCTGTCTGTCCCACCCACTCCCACTCGATTTGGAAAAGTGAACACCCAGGGCAGGAGGCGAATTTTTCTCCGTGCGGGAATTCCAGAGGCCTTGGCCCAGGGAGACTGGTTTCCTGGAGGTTCACAGTTCCTCTGGGCCCTTTCTTCACACCTCACCACAGTTGTACTCCTCCTCCTCTTCTCCACCCTCACTCCCGGCGCGGCGCCCCGTGTGTCCCTTTATGCTTTGCTCACAGCTCGCAGCCTGGGTGCACTCTGGGTTGTTTCTCGGGGATCTCACATTAAGGAGCTGCTGTAGGTAAATCGCAGGTAGAAACAGTTTAATTCCGGTTGCGGGTGTCTTAAAAATCCCATTGGCTGCTTCAACATCCCTCTTATTACCCCTCACTCCCCCTCCCCATCCACCCCACTATCTCTTAAATGTTTCCAACCAGCCCTATTCAGGTGGTGGAATTACTGCCTGCATATTCCTGGAGGAACTTGTGTTATGTTTAATATTTACGGGGATGAACATCTGCTGGAACAAGCATATTAACTGTACTCTGTTCTGCCTCTGGTAATCGCTTATTGTAGTACTGAGCCTCCCCCCCCCCCCTTAATTCAGTAAAGATTTCACATGTGTCTAAAACTGCAAGTGGTGTGCACATGAATATGCAGTGCACAATTTTAAAGCTAAACTGCTGTATGATTTATGGCTCATATGGATGATATGTGGTCTATGTGGGTATTTGCAGTGATTTAGGCTTCCAGTGACTTTTATTTTCCTAAAGACAGGTGTAACAAAATAAACTAGACACAAAGCTAACGAATTATCGAGCAGTTTCTTATAAAAGATCCGATGGTGAGTAAGTACAGCTTGCTCTGCATAATGCTGGCGCCTATAAAACACACAAGGATGGGCCCTAATGTAATAAAACTTGTATATATTACACTGGAAACTTCAAAGAGTCAGTGTAGAAAGAATATGAAACATGTTATTACTCTATAAAAGTTGCTAATTACTGTGTTGCTGCTCCTGGGGATATTTCAGCCTTTCATTTACAGATACCTATTATTTTACAGGTTTACATTTAGAAATGTTGGTTTCTGGCACCAATTCAATAGGTTTCCAGATTAGCAACTGTACTTTAAAAAATGACTTTTGCTTTTTAAACGGCAGTCAAAGGGAAGAACTTATTGTTTTGCCATATTTTTTATGCTGCTCGTCTGCTTGCTGACTCAAACTGAATCCCTTCATGACTTTTATAAGTGGTGTTTTGAGATTATCAGCCATAATTTGTGGACTCTTCCAGCACAGGGCCTGAGCGCTATTTTCCTTTGCAACCTTAGTTCCCAGATGAATTACCTGGAACACTGTTAAACAATAAATGTCTGTTGAATTGACTTGGAATTTATATTAGTTACAGTATACATTATTTCTTTTACAAAAATAAAAATTAAACATTTCAATAAAAACTGTACATGTAATCATGTTTTAATCAGTACATCAATTTTTGGCATATAGAAGCATTCTTGATTACAATATAGTAGGACAGTTTGGCTGGAGTGTTTCCCATTTTGCAGATGTAGCATTTACATATCACAAATGCTTGTGTGTTTTATCTTTAATTTAAAGATAAACCAAACTCCTTGAGTAGAGATTTTTCTCTCAGTTATGGGTGAATTTTTGGATGGTATGTTCAAACTTAATTTTATGGTTTACTTAAAATTTTGTTTTTGGTTTACATTTAAGCTAATAGGTGATCCAGAATAGCTATTCAACTACTTGCTGTGTTGTCTGGTATTTTCATGGCCATTGTTTTCTTATTTGAATCTCATGACAATCCTGGCAGTGGTAAGTGGAAGGAGTTCCATTATATAGACGAGGAAGTACAAGCTTTGAACTGTTATGTGACTTTACTGAAACCATAAAACAAATGACAGCAGACTCCAGAAAACTAATATTTACTGAGCACTTATTTTTACCAGACACTGTTGTAGGTATGTTACATATTTTAGGGCATTTAATCTATATAACAGTCTTACAAAGCAAGTTCTCTCAGTTGTCTCATTTTACACATGGGGAAATTGAGGTAAACTGCCCAAGGTCAGATAGCTGCAAGAGGAGAGGTATATATATTTGAACTAAGAATTAGCTTCAAAACCCACTTTTCTGATTTCAAATCCAGTGCATTTTCTAGAATCCTGCAGATGTCTCTTCGTTTGTAAAGATGGCTCTGGAATTAATTATAAAGCAAAGCCTTGATGAACTGGAAGTTAAGGTTCTGGTAAAATATCAAAAAGAAGGTCAGAATCTTAAATGGTATTGCTCTAAAATTAAAAATATGAAAACAGAATGCCATGATTTAGGAAATTATATCTGCTAATTATGAATTAATTTATGAAACTAGGTATATATTTTAAATAAAGGTGATTGAACACTTCTTCCTTTATTTCATCATAATAAAACAGTTTTCTTTGAAGGGGAAAGCGGAAGTACAGATTAATGGCAAAAACGAATCTCATTTTAAATCCCTAACAACTTTTTCTAATTGGTGGATATTGTTTTCCAATAAAACTAATTGCACTTTATTAGTTGTGACTGTGGCTTTGACTCTGAGCTCCCTTATTCTAGCCATCACGGAAAGTGTCTGCAAATGACTGTAGAGATCATATTAAGGGAAAAGCTTAGTACTACTGAATTAATCAATATATGCAATCAATTGATAATTCAATAACTACCTGCTCTGCTCCCATGCACACTGTTGCTCTTACTCAGAAACATCCATATTTATTTTTCAAGGAAAGGTTTTTAAGTCTGAATTACCAGATGGCTGTTCTCTTTAGCCATGCCTTAGAGTTGAGATGGGTTATTTTAATTAACACTTTTAATTCTACTTCCCATTTCTAGTTTGAAGTCAGACTGGGGAACCTGGAACATGGTGAAGGTGCTCATTCTTACCCAGCTCTGTAGCTTCACTCAGTAGAGCCAAGTTCCTAGAGTTGGGGGATTCAGTAAGTCTGCAGGGGCAAATGCTAGAGAGGAGCAGCACCTCTGCTCAGCTTCCTCTCCATTCCCTTTTGCTTTTCTCCTGTCATCTACCAACTTCAGGTCACCTGCTAGACATATATGCCAGTCCTCAGGGCCTTTAAAATAATAACCATTGCTTTTCGTAGGTTAACTGTTGTTTTTGTTGATTCACTTAACAAATCTTTATTGATCATCTCTAAAATACAAGACCTTGGGCTGGTTGCTGTAGGGTATGGAAAGATGAGTAAAACATGGGTTGTGCATATTGTCATCTAGTAGGAGAATGAGATAAGTCCGTAAGTGCAAAAGGAAAGTCTTCAACTCTGGCAATTCAGAAGAGAACATATTTGGACTAGTGTGGGAGGCAGAGGAAGGAAAAAAGAAAAACTGACTAATAAAAAAAATAACTAGTATGGAAGAGGTGGCCTTTGAACTAAGCTTTGGAAGATGAATGGGATTTTTACAGACCATGCGGGTGGGGGTATTGAGAGGACACAGAGGCATCTTGGGCAAAGAAAGAACTTGAACAAAGGCTTTCATTGGTGTCTCTGAAAGATTCTTTTATGAATCATGATGGAATTACCTATACTACATAGTTTAAAGATGCAGAACTTTGTAATCATGATATGGTTTCAGTGAATGAGGAAAATTTTCCAAAATGAACTCAAGCTTGTACTTCATCTGCCTTAAATGTGAACTCATTTTACTTATTGGGGAGAAAGTCTATCAAAATGACATAGTAAAAATTCAGACCCTCCCTATTACCCTGTCCATATATCTACATATAAGCCAGAATCCCATACACATTTTGTTCACTTTATATTCTTTCAAATTGCAACTTTTGATATTAGAGTATATGGATTTTGTTTATACTTGTTTATTCAACTTAAAGCATTCACAGCATTAGGCATTGCTAGAGGATAGGTATTTTAGGGCCCTGGCTTTTAAATGTTTTAAAACTACCACCAACAGTGACAAATACATTGAACTTGGCAATCACATATATCCGTGTACACAACGGAAACGAGAGAGTCATGAAGTAACACTTATTCTTACTATGTACGATGCATTTTGATATTCTCTACCTATTTCTTTTCTTCTTAATTCTTAACTTCCGGGTTGAAACCTGCAGTTTAAAAACTTACTATCGGGTACACAAAGGAGGAACTTACAGGGAAATAAGGCATATACTTATCAACATCTGCAATACAAAACTGACACTGCCCTTTGGAGGGGGAATGGCCACATCCAGTTGAGGGAGTAAAATATTCATGGCTGAATGGCATTTGAAATGGATCCTGGGGAAGGAGAGTTTCAGGAAGAAGAAATTAAAGGGAGGAAAATCTATGTGGAAGGAAGACTGTGAATAGAAATATGGAGGAATAAAGTAGGGCTTGTTTGAAGTTGTCATTGAAGGGTAGGAAAGGACTGCACTCCTGCAAGGGGGAGGAAGACAAACTGCGCCACTAACAGCTTAGTCTCCACGGG